TTTTTATATATTTTTCATATATACATATATATAATATATATAAATATATAAAAAATTGATGTTGGTACTCAAATGAAAGCTCTCGATGAGTGTAATGTCGAAATGAACTTATATCTTTAAAAATGTCAATAGTTCACGAGATACAAGGTGATTTCTTAATTATGCATCTAGAGATAGAGCAGACTATTCTGGACACAAAATTGTTCTTATTCTTTTAATAATATAGATTTCAAAATAAAAAAATAAAAAAAATTAAAAAAAAAAATCTGTAATTATAATTTGATTCTTCAGGTTCGTGTTAGAGCTCACTTTTCATACAAAGCAGCAGATGATCCTTATATTCCCTGCAAAGAAGCCGGGTTGGACTTTAATAAAGGCGACGTTCTGCATATAGTCAGCCAGGATGACGCTTACTGGTGGCAAGCCCGCCGAGAAGGAGATAGAAATATGAGAGCTGGATTGATTCCCAGCCGAGCGCTTCAGGAGCGTCGTATAATCCTAGAGCGCCAGCAGAAGGATAAGACTGACGATGAAGAAGATAACTTGAGTAAGATATTGACGGTGATGCGACTAATGAAGACCAGAAAATTGATCCGCTGAAAAATTAAATAATTTAAGTTATTTTCAGAAATTATTAATAAAATTATTAATTTTTTTGCTAATAAATTTTCTAGTTTTGTACTGAGGATCAATTTTCTGGGGTTCGGCAGTCTTGTAATCAAATCTGATTGCTTCGCTCTGCCTTTGCTTTTCTAATAATACTATTAATTAATTAATTTTATTTGATTAATTAGCTTGGCATAGTCCCACTAATACTCGCATAAAGCGCATAATGTGCGACCTAACCCGCCCGGTTAGGCTTGTGTTCTGTTCCAGTGCCTTTGCCCACATTGTGCCCCCGTCCCAGTACCTCTTCATTGCACGCTTCGCCTACTAAGTGCAATTTACAAGGAATAAAAACTAAAAAAATAATGTATGACGCTGCAGAGAACGACGATTTTGATCGCGAAGAGATTCCCACTTATGAGGAAGTCGCCAAGTTGTATCCGAGACCTGGACTTTATCGTCCAGTGGTACTTATTGGTCCTCCTGGAGTTGGAAGGAATGAATTGAAGCGGCGGCTTTTAGTTACTGATCCTGATAAATATAAGACACCTGTACCATGTAAGTTTATTTTTTGGATATGTCTAAGGTACAAGCGAGGTAATAAGGCTTTTTTAAAATGAGAAAAAAATTTTTTCATTATGAAGTAGCAACCTTGCAGTCACTATGTGACTTGTGAACTATAAATAAATAAAATCTTGCTTTATTAAATAATGAATTTAGTTAAATTGCACTGTGCTTTCTTAACTGTTGACATTTTTAAATATATAAGCTTATTCCGATGTTATCCTTATCAAGAGCTTTCATTTGAGTACCCACATCAATTTTTCATATATACATATATATATTATATATAAATATATGAAAAATTGATGTGGGTACTCAAATGAAAGGTCTCGTTGGGAGTAATGTCGGGGTGAGTTTATTTCTTCAAAAATATCATTAGTTGAAAAGATAACAATATCAGTTCTTAATTATTGACATTTTTAAAAATATGAGCTCATCCCAATGTTATACTCATCAAGAGCTTTCATTTGAGTACCTACATGTATATTTGATATATTTTTCATATATACATATATATAATATATATATATATATATATAAATATATGAAAAATTGATGTGGGTACTCAAGTAAAAGGTCTCGATGAGTATAATGTCGGGATGAGCTTATATCTTTAAAAATGTCAGTAGTTCACAATATACAAGGTCACTTCTTAATTTTTGATATTTTTAAAGATATAAGCTCATCCCGATGTTACTTTCATCAAGAGCTTTCATTTGAGTACCCACATCAATATTTCATATATTTTTCATATATACATATATATAATATATGTAAAATATATGAAAAACTGATGTGGGTACTCAAATGAAAGGTCTCAATGAGTGTAACATCAGGATGAGCTTATATCTTTAAAACTATCAATAGTTCACAATAGATACAAGGTCATTTCTTAATTATGTATTTAGAGATATAACATTTTCTAATGCGGCCTAAATACATCATAATAAATTGACCTATATAATGACACTAAATTTTACTTTTAAAAAACAGATTTCATTATATGACTATCCTAGAAACAAAATTTTTCTTATTCTTAATTTTATTTTTATTTTTAGTAAAAGTTAGAATTATTTGTTTCTATTTAATAAAAAATTCATAATAATAATAATAATAATAATAATAATAATAATAATGATAATAATAGCAACAATAATAAGTAACAAAAAAATTGTTGATCAAATTGAATATGTTAAGCGTTATTACTCAGTATACCTTAAATTTATTTTTTTTTAATTGCTCATAAAAATTGACGTAATAAAACAATATATTACAAAACTTCTAGACACATCGAGACCACCACGACCTGGAGAAGTAGACGGCAAAGAATACTACTTCGTAACTCGGGAACAAATGGAGCAAGACGTAGAATCAGGAAAGTTCATAGAATACGGCGAGTACAAAGGCAACCTCTATGGTACCAGTGGTGAGAGTGTCAGCTCGTTGATAAACGCCGGGTTTGTTTGTCTCCTCAGTCCTCATTACCAGGCTCTGAAAATGTTGCGTACGCCTCAATCAAAACCATACGTGATCTATATAAAGCCTCCGCGGTTTGAAATCCTGAAAGAGACCAGAAATGAGGCTCGCGCTCGATCAACCTTCGACGAGTCAAACTCTCGAGGATTCACCGACGACGAGTTCAACGAGATTCTGCACAGCGCAGCTCGCATCGAGTTCCTCTACTCGCATCTCTTCGACGAAGTTATCGTCAACGGAGACCTGGCCATCGCATTCGAGCAGCTGGTCACTGCGATACACAGGGTCGAAAGCGAGCCGCTGTGGGTTCCCGCTTCTTGGGTCCAGTGAAGAATATCAAGTCATTAATTAATTAATTAATTAATTAATTACGGGAAGAAAAAATATTGAGAAATAAATAAATAATAATTAATGATGTTCCATCGCCGTAATCGGGCACCATTTCCACTAGCTTAGTCTGTTAAGCTTCTACGTGAATAATGATCACCACCCACTAAGTACCTTCATCATAATCTTCCACTTGGTTATCAAGCAAAAGTAAATCATTAAAAATTACCATTATTAAATTTGTGTCATTATCCCCCAGGATAATTCCTCACTGCCAAGAGAGTATCTCTAATCTCGTGGTGATCACGAAAACACATGTTAATTAATTAATAATTAATTATTTTAAAAATTTAATTTTAATAATTATTGTAAAAAAATCGATTTAAATTGTATAGAGATTTAATGATAATAATAAGAATTAATGGATAAAATATTAGTCAAGTCGTAAACTTTTTTTTTTCTGTAAAAAATTAATAATTGAAAAATATTTTTCTCTCTTCTTCTTGAGAATTCACTTTGTCTTATTTTAATATGAGCCGATAATTTTTTTTTCCGTTCAATCTTTTGGTCAATTGCCATAATAATAATATCAGAAATTTTTGTGGTTAAAAAAAATTTTTTTTGGGATTAAAATTAATTTAGCAGATATTTATTAAATTTTTATAATTTTTTTAACAAATAAATTATAGCAAAAAAAAATTAACGTAAAAATTAAAAATTCAATTTTTTTAAAATTATTTTCTGGTAAAAATTTTTGTTAAAAAAAATTAAAAAATTATTAATTGACTTTTAACTTTAATGTCATTTCGGCTGCCCTATTTCAAAACACAGTACACGGAAAGAACAAGATGACACTAAATATCATCCCAGATTATACTCAGTGATATCTGTGGTGAAAAAAAATTTCAGATAGTATTTAAAACAATGGCTACTCTAATATTTGAAATACTAAGTGCGCAGGCGCTAGAAAAAAAATGGAGATATCATTGGGTATAATCTAAGATTCTACGGAGTATAACTGACAATTTAAAGATTTTTAAAAGTTTTTCTGATTAAAATAAAGTTTGCGCGCCAAATTTATAAAAAATTTTATTTATGAATAAAAATACTTAAATATTAATATTTTTAAGAAAAAATACTTGAAGGTCTAAAAGTTATAAAAATTGCAGCAATTTGCTAAAAAAAATCAGGTATGAAAATTTTGCAGTTACTGTGTTTTAAAATTTAGCAGCTGATTTTTTTGGGTTGAAGTAAATCTCTTTCTCTGATTCTGATACTATAAACTCACTTTGAATTTACATTTTGACAATTATTAATTGCTACAAGGGATATATCTTCGGCATAATAAATTGGCTGATACAAGAAAAAATTAAAGGTTGGCAAAAATTATAATAAAAATTCTTAAAAAAAATTTTTTTAATGACTAATTATTATTCTGTAATTTTATTATCATTAAAAAAAAAAAACTGATTAATTTTATTAAAAAAAAAAATAATTTTTTATTTAATTAAAAATAAATTACCTCATATTAAATTGTTAAAAAAATCTTCACTATTTTCCTGGATAAATTTTTAATATTAGATTACTTGTTAAACTTTAAATTCACTAAAAAATTCACAATAATTAATTTAGTATCTGAAAAATTAATTAAAAACTATTTTATAATTTGACGAACTAATTGTATAATAACAATTAAATTTTTGAGTTAAAATAATTTTTGTAAGAAATTATATTTTATAAATAAGATTAAGAAATTTAAATTTTCTAAAAGAGTAATTAGACTAACCGTAGCAATAAATAAAGCAAAATTAAATCTTTCTTACTATTAACAATAATAATAAATAATAACGTTAAAATTATACAATATAAATTCCTTGATGATTATTAATTATTGATTATTTATTATTATAATAATTAAATTGGAGAGAGAGAGACGGTGGAAATTGTTGTTAATTGTTGCCAAATGATTATTATTAATAAATAATAAATAAATAATTGACAAAGACATTTAAATATAATAATAATTATTGTTCAATTATATTTTACACTCGGCATTGTAAATACTTGTGAAGAAATAAATAAAAGAAGAAATATGCTGATGGTTAATTTTAAATATAAATAATTAAAAGATGAAATTTACTGTCGTTGATTAGATTATCTTCGATGTATCTTACCGTTAATAAAAAACATTCATTTCAAAGTAATGGTTTTAATTAATTTAATTTAATTTAATTACTTTTTCTTTTTTTTTTAAATAATGTTGTCATACATTGTTGACAGTTACCACGCTATTTATTTTTCAACTTTTGTATTTCAGTCTCACAGCCGGGGCGCATTGTTTTTTTCGATTCAGTGTCGCGTAAAAATTTTTCGAGGGCACATGCCGAAATAGAACACAGAAAGCTCGACACTAAGCTATACTGTCCTATCACAAGATAGTTTTTGATGCACGTAGCGAATCAATTAAGTCAGAGTGAGTAAAATAAAACTTTTTATGTAATTTCTAGTGAAAATTTTCAATACTAAAAACAAACTTTGTAATTAGTTTTTCGATTTAACCTTGACATAGATTATTTAAAGAGGAAGGCTGTTTTCATGCTGATTTTCATTAATTTTTTTAGGGTATAAAAAATTATTATTCATTTAAATTATCGGGTTATTTTATACATATATTTATGAGTATTTTTTTTTGTATTAGACAACAATATAATATAACAAATAACAGTATTGAAGCTACAATTTTTATCTGAAATCAATTGCACAGAAAAATTACTTCTTTTATATGTGTATCTATAAGAACTTCAATTTCAGAAAAAAAAAAAGTAAAAATTTTCATTTTTTAAAGGGCTTTTTGATTAAGTTGTGATTTTTTACCATTTTTTCATAGATTGTTTATTAAAAAAAAAAAATAGTTTATAAAAAATATTGCTAATGATGGTTCATATTCAGCGTAATTGTATAAAGAAAATTATTTTTTCTGTGGCATTATTAATTTCAGATAAAAATTGTGGCTTTCATAGTGCACACCAATTGCTAAGTCGGAAGACAACTTATGATGTGTATCAGCTGATATCTTCGCTACTTTTTCAGTTATGTTGTCGTAAAATATAGAAAAATATAAATATCTGTATAAAATAACCTGATAGTTTTAATAAATAACATTAATTTAAGACAATTTTCTTCCTCAATTTATTTCCAGTATATTCTTCTTTTTTTTCATCTGGTTATAAAATAATCCTAGTAAATATATCATATCAAAAAGATATCCCATGGCAATATATTCCAAAACAAAAATCTCTTATGGCAGAATTATCCTCTGACAAAAATATCTAAAATAAACAGTGTATGTACATTATACACTAAGTTGGTCTAATGATAAATAAAGACACAAAAAAAAACCATTAAAAAAAGGGCGCAACACGGTAACAAGCTTATGTGTTGGTCTAATCTTGAATAAACACATATAAAAACCATGCACTGATAGAAGGATTTGTTTATAAGGTAAAAGACCCAGTTATTGACATTTGCAATTTTATTTTAATTAAAAAAACCAAATCAACTTTAATAAATTAAGAAATACAATTTTTGAATTATAAATTTGAAGAAAATTGGTTTTTTGAGAACATTTAATTTTATTAATTAGAATAAAATTGAAAGTGTCAAACAACTAGGCCAGTGTCAATAACTGGGCCTTAAAGATATATTTGTTAATATTTAACAAATCATTTATTAGAGACCAGTTTTTAGTATTAAACAAATATTTTTTAGTATTTAAAATGATTTGTTTGTATTTATTAAATCTGATATTTATTTATTAAATATTAATGAAAATTAAGTTAGCCGAAATTTAAAAATTTTAGAATTTTTTTTTATTAAAAAAATTACCTATTACAAAATAATTAAAAAAAAAATTTCATTTGTAAAAAACTCGAAAAACTAAAAGTGCAATTTTTAAAAAATATTTTTTAGTTCTAATTTAATAATTAAAAAAAAATTAAAAATGTCGGCTAACTTTAGTGTTATTAAATATTAATAAATTATTTTTTAAATATAAACAAATCCTTCTATCAGTGTAATAAAAGGACACAATAGGATATTTTATTAAGGGAAAATTAGAAGAGGATATTTTTGTGCAGGATATTTTTGCTTGGAATATATTTGCTAAGGAATTTTGACCTATAACCTTCTTTTTTATCTAAAAAAAAAATCCAATAATTTTTTTTCTTTAAATTTTCAGCGATCGATTCTTAGATCTGTTAACTGATCTCACAGATTACAAGTGCAATAACACACACAAGTAATGCACACTAAAAAGGTGTAGATAACGTTCCAGGCAGGTATCACCGCCTCGCACCTGGACAATCCGCGCTTGCGTGATCCGGAGGATAGTTTACAACAATTTAAACTTTTTTCCAGTAGACGGTTCGGCTCAGAAGGATAAACACCCGCGGGATGGTTTTAAACCGCATCTCCGACTGCCAGAATTTAAAACAGGTAACAAATTACATTATTAATTTAATAATAATTTTTAACCGCGAAGATAAACAATTTCTCAATCTGGGAGTAAAAATAAATATTAGTTGTAAAATGATGAGTTGAGAAAATTAGTGATCACTTCGGGATTTACGTAAATTTTTACGCTGATGATTTTAGTTATTTATAAATAAAGCGACCGATGACGATATGTATCTCCCTCTCCTTCGTTTGCTCGCTTTATTTAACTCAATATATCTATTCTAATCTATTCTCTTTGTCATTTGATTAAAAAGCCTACGTGTACATCCTCGACAAAGTCGACGCGGTGATAAATTTTGTTCTCTATATATATATATATATATATATATACATGTATAATAATATAAGTAATAGGTCGCAAGTAATCTTAATCGTATCTTGGTCTACTCGCTTTTGTTGTTTACTTTTATTTATTTATTTGTTTATTTGAAAATTCTCCTCGAGAAATCTCTGGAAACAAATAAATAAATGGAAATTAAATTAGCCGATATTTGAAAATTTTTTTTATATAAAAAATTAAAAAAAAAGTTTTAATTTGTAAAAAATTTGAAAAACTATGGGTGAAATTTTTAAAAAATATTTTTTAGTTCTACTTTAATAAATGAAAATAAAATACTAAAGTTAGCCGACGTTTTTAATTTTTTAATTTATAAATAATAACTAAAAAATATTTTTTAGAAATTACACTTATAGTTTTTCAAGTTTTTTTACAAATAAAAATTTTTTTTTAAGGGAGAACACTATTATGACGGTGTAAAAAAGATGATTTTCGGGAATTTTTTTGACTGGGAAAATAAATGAATTTGAGGATCGGATTTTTTATATTTTATTAAGGGCACATCAAAGATTATTACCCTAAATTTTTATTAAAAAATATTTAATTATTACAATTTTAAAAATTTTGATTTTAAAGATTTTTTTAGCTGGGATAAAACAAAAAAAAAACAATAAAAATAATGAGAAAATTTTTAATCAGTCGCCATTTTTCTGAAAATTAAAATTTTCAACATTCCGTACGTGCAACGATAATGAAAATTAAGTTAGCCGACATACAAAAATTTCAAGAATTCTTTTTATTGAAAAGTATTACAAAAAAATAAAAAAAAAAATTTTCATTTGTAAAAAACTTGAAAAACTATAATCAAAAAATTCAAAACGTCGGTTAATTTTAGTGTTGTGCAACGATAACAACATCCTTATACTGATTAAAAAGCAATTTGGATTTTTATTTTCAAATGATCCGTTTTTGAGTTATCAATGCGACCATGAAGGCGGGAATTTTTTTTAGTGCTCTTAGAGATTGTTAATAACTTTGTAATAATTAAATATTTTTCAATAAAAATTTAGGGTAATAATCTTAATTTTTAATAATTTCAAACTAACTTAATTTTCATTAAATGAAAATAAAATCTAAATAAATAAGTGAAGAAATATAAAAAAAAACGCTAATTAAAAATCTAATTATTTAAAATAAAAAATAAAAAATAGTAACATTTAAAAAAAGTAATAAATGCATCTAGATATTAATTATTAATAATTAATTCTAGTGGATGATAGCTATAATTAATTAACTCGTGAATAAAAGGAGATTTTGCATTAATTTAAGGAGTTGATCTGCAAGTATAAAGCTTGACCTTGGAAGCTCGCACGAAAGGTAGTTTACTCGGTTGTATAAATTTAATATACATAAATGTATGTACACACTCGGGAGCATACACCACTCGAGAGTATTATCTTTCACTTTGGCTTGTCACATTACACCCTCGCCTTAATCTCTAGAGACGAGTCAAGCCTCTGCTCCCAGTTTTCAATGTTTGCGCATAAGTACGTCTAGAGAAATAATAATATTTAATTAATAGCGACAACAAAAGGCTATTTCAGATTCAGATTAATAAAAATTACATACTTACACTGATGCCTACTGCTTATTACTGACATGACATGTTTTTAAAAAGTGTAATTAAATTTACTGACACGTTCCAGTGCTGCTTCAACCCTTCACCTTGCTCAATCAACGTCGGGTTAATCACGCACGGTATCTAATCATCAAACATTTCCGGGGAGTAATTTATACATCCGAACTCGAAACTCTTGACCTCTTTCTTCTGATTAACCCCAAAATTATTTTTTAAATAGTTCAGGATAATTTTTTTATTTTTAAATTTAATTATTCTTAAATAGTTATTCTTATTCTTATATAAAACTAAGAAAATATTTTTAAAAAATTGCACTTTAAGTTTTTCAAATCTTTTAAAAGTGAAATTTTTTAAAAATATTTTAAAATAATTTTTTCAAGAAGAAAAATCATATAAATTGTCAGATGTCTGTTAAATTCATTTTCATTCTTATTTAATTTTTTTCTTTTTAAATAAAAATCATAAATGGAAATAAATGGAAGTTAGCGAACATTTAAAAATTTTTACAATTTTTTTTATTAAAGAAAATTATGACAAAAAATTAAAAAAAAAAAAAATTCACATGTAGAAAATTTAAAAAACTCAGAAAATCAAAAAATCAAACATGTCGGCTAACTTAATTTTCATACAAGAAGAAATATTTAAAATGACGAAAAGTATAAAATTAAAAATTAGGTAAGCTTATTAGAACAAAAATAAAAATCATTAAAATAGATCAAGAATTTTTTTTAGCTAGAAAAATAATCAAAACTCCACCGGTTTTAAATATGTGAAATAATTCCCTAAATATTAATTATTTTTATTTAAAATATAAAAAAATATAATTCTTTAAAATTTATAAGAATCTTCCCTTAATTTTCATAATTAATGACAATAATAATAAAGTTAGCCGACATTTTTAATTTTTTTTCAATTATTTAATTAGAACTAAAAAATATTTTTAAAAAATTGCACTTATAGTTCTTCAATTTTTTTACAAATGAAATTTTTTTTTTTATTTTTATGTAATAGAAAAAATTTTTAGAAGTCAACTAACTTAATTTTGATTTAATGGCACTGAAATTATCAGACACTTGACAAATTTTTAATTTTTCCTGAGTGGATTTAGAAAATTATTGTTAAAAAATAGCCTTTACAATTCTTATGAAAATAAATTTGCAGATATTAAATAATTTTTAGAATTTTTTTTAACAAATAAATTATGGCAAAAAAAAATATGATACTAAAGTTAGCCGATGTTTTTAATTTCGTGAATTTTTTCTCTTCAAAATTGGAACTAAAAAAAATATTTTTTAAAAATTGCACTTATAGTTCTTCAATTTTTTTACAAGTGAAAATTTTTTTTTATTTTTTTTCAATAAAAAAAAATTCTAAAAATTTTTAAATGTCGGCTAACTTAATTTTCATAAAAAAAATTGGCATGTAGAAATTTAAAAAAATGAAAAATGCAATTCTAAAATTATTTTTTGGAACAAATTTGTTTGTTAAAAAAAAATTAAAAAATTCTCTAATGACGGCTAACTTTACTGTCATACAATTCTTTAGATCTTCTAAAGATAAAATAATTTAAATAAATTATTGCTGTAATTAATAAGTAAAAAACATACTAAAAATTATCAGATGTCTTTAAATTTCAGTATCATCATAATTCATCAATTTCTCAGGAAGATATTTTTGTTGAAGAAATTTAAAGTTTGTTATTCTTCCCAGCTTTACATGATTTCGTATTAAATTCAAGTTTACTCCGTATCGATATTCTAAACTTAGATTATTTTTACTTCACGAAAAAAAAAGAACCCCAGTGGATATCGAATTTAAAAAACAAAAAACATACTCAACTTATCATCCTTGTGATTATTAATCAAATAATTATCATTACTCTGCTCCACTATTAAAATAATCTAATCTCAAGCTAAAAAAAAAATCATCAAAAAATCCACTTGAAGCAAAAAAATAAAAATACTTACTTGACAAAATGACACATCAGAAATCAGGATTTGCAGAACTACAATACAAGATAGATCCTGTCATGAGAATACCCAACAATTGATCACCCAGCTATTACTCATTACACTGGTAATTTAAATAATTCCTTGACAATAACTAAACGTGATTTATCCACAGTACCAGAATACAATAGATAAATAATGTATTGCTTAGATATATAACATATACAGTAGTAAGTAAGTGTACATAAAATGAATAAATGACCATGAATTGTTTGTCGTCAGCAGAATTCAATGATGGAAACAAGTACGACGACCGGACGAAGATGGAGTTCAGTATCTGGCCTAACGCACCATCGGGAGAGCATCATCAACGTCCCGGCCAGCAGTGGTCAAAGACTCCCCACTTATGTCGAGCCCACCACTCATCAAGTAAGTTCAATCTAACCAAATGCAATGCAATACTAATATGTAAACTGTATTAATATAAAGTTAAGCAAAGCCAAGTTTCAAGCTTAAGTTAACGTACTTACACTTATACGTAGATGCTCTGTCTCATAAGTCTATTCGTACACTTACAATTTGCCTCTACTCAATATTATCATTATACCGCTCTTTACATTACATCGTACGATAGACTTTTGACTCTCTACTTGTCGAGTCACGTCAGTCAGCCGGAGTAAGTTTAAGTGTAAGTGTAATAATACAAGTCCAACCACTTGCTATTACTTTTGTGATAACACCAGTTTAGTCTTCACCATCAACGCCCGCATCTTCAATAAATCCTTACTTTAATTATATTCAAGTTAATTTTTTTCGTCAGTGTATATAATAATGTTTTTCTTTAATAATTTCTTCTTGGTTTGAGTAAATTTTATTTGATTAATGATTTCTTCTTTTTATTCAAGTTAATTTTTTTATTGAAAATTTCTTCTTTTGATATAAATTAATTTCTTTTATCAGTGTACATAATAATTTTTGTTATCAAAAATTTCTTCTTGGCTTGAGTAAATTTTATTTGTTTAAAGATTTCTTCTTTTTGTTCAAGTTAATTTTTTTATTAAAAATTTCTTCTTTGAGTAAATTCAACTTGATTCAAGATTTCTTCTTTTTATTCAAATTAATTTTTTTATTAAAAATTTCTTCTCTGAGTAAGTTTAACTTGATTCAAGATTTCTTCATTTTAATCAAATTAATATTTTTATTAAAAATTTCTTCTTTGAGTAAATTTAACTTGATTCAAAATTTCATTCTTTTTATTCAAGTTAATTTTTTTATCAGCGTATACAATAATATTTTTATTAAAAATTTCTTCTTTGAGTAAATTTAACATAATTACAGATTTCTTCTTTTGATTCAACTTAATTTTTTTATTAAAAATTTCTTCGTTGAGTGAATTTAACTTCATTCAATATTTCTTCTATTCATTCGTTAATCTTTTTATCAGTTTAAACAATGATATTTTTATTAAAAATTTCTTCTTTGAGTAAATTTAACTTGATTCTTCTTTTTTCTTCTTTTCATTCAAGTTAATTTTTTTATCAATGTTTACAATAATATTTTTATTTTAAATTTCTTCTTTGAGTTAATTTTATTTGATTCAAGATTTCTTCTTTTCATTCAAATTAATTTTTTTTATCAGTATACATAATAATTTTTTTCATCAAAGATTTCTTCTTAGTTTGAGTAAATTTTATTAGATTAAAGATTTCTTCTTTTTATTCAAGTTAATTTTTTTGTTAAAATTAACAATAAAAAGAACATTAAAAATTTCTTCTTTGAGTAAATTTAATTTGATTCAAGATTTCTTCTTTTTTATTCAAGCTAATTTTTTTATCAGTGTATATAATATTTTTTTTTTTTTATATGTCTTCTTTGAATAAATTTAACAATTAAAGATTTCTTCTTTCAAATTAAATTAATTTTTTTAACTGTGTATATAATAATTTTCTAATAAAAAATTTCTTCATTGAATGAATTTAACTTGATTAAAAATTTCTTCTCTTAATTCCACTTAATTTTTTTTGTCAGGATATATTCTTCTTTTCCAAAAATTTTTCAATTAATGACATTAAATATCATCAATCTTAAAATTCCAGAAAGTTCATCGTATAATTGAAGAACACAAGACCAAACGTCCCAGCAAGTCTTCATCATCTTCGTGCAACCTTCCAGATTACATCGTCGCTACCCGAGGATTCTTCGCGATCCGCGAAACCTCCAAGGATTGTTCTCCAATTTCTTCCTACTCTTCACGAAAAAAAAATCATCCAAACGAGTTGCTGATCAACGGGCGAGAAGACACCAAAGGAAGAATAAACCAAAAATCTCCCAGCAACTGGGAACGAAGGGCCGAAGATAGATCAAGTTCTAGGTCGCGGAGCCTCAAGAATAAATCCGCTAAAGAAGGCAAGTCAATGACTTAATAATTATAATTGGATGGTTAGTTTTAGTGGTTAATTTTTAAAATTTGGAGGTACTGCCAAGTCAAACAGTGAAAATGTGTTATTTCCTGAATGTTGACGCCAGGAGTATATTTAGTTGGGTCAGGGCCGGGCGTCATTGATACCAATGACGTTATTTAGTTGTACAACTACAACTGTTGCAGGATTGGGAGCGATTCCACCTGGCAAAATACCCGCCGATGGAATACTGAAGAAATCTACGACGCTGGTTTACAAACCCGGGGATAAAGAAGTTATCAGAGCGCTTAAAAAAACCGGAGTTATCAAAGCGAGCAGTTATCAAAATTTGAGTACCGCTGATGTTAAAAGAGACTCGAGGATTCATTTTGGTAATAATAATATTAATAATCCAAGAGCTGTGAAGAAGTCAGTGTCTTTTAGCTCTGATACGAGCTTTGTGGCTAAGCGACTACCCACGCGTAAACCAGCTGTTCATGAAGCCAAAGTTTATCACAAAGGTGTTCTAAGAGGTAAATAAATTTTTTTTAATTAACTTTTTTTTTTGTACTATCATAAAAATACTAACAACCTTGCAGTCACTATGTGACTGCCATGACTTTTGAACTATAAAATTTTGCTTTATTAAATAATATTAAATTGCACTGTACTTTTTTAACTATTGACATTTTTAAAGATATAAGCTCATCCCGATGTTACACTCATCAAGAGCTTTCACTTGAGTACCCACATGCATTTTCATATATTTTTCATATATTCATATATATATATATATATATATATATATATAAAATTGATGTGGGTACTCAAATGAAAGGTCTCGATGAGTGTATCATCAGGATGAGCTTATCTCTTCCAAAATGTCAATATTTCACGAGATACAAGATCATTTCTTAATTATCTATCTAGAGATAAAGCATTTTCGAACGCAGCCTAAATACTTATCATCATAAATTGACTATTGGTGAGAATGATATGAAATCATGAAAAGAACCATAATAATATAGATTATTTAATTTATTTTAGATATTAAAAACTTGGAATATCCAATAAAGAAGTTGGAAATTAGTCGAGAAAATATGAATCAGTTGCTGTTAAAATCGGCTCGTGAAGCCGATGAACTAGTGCTCAGTGACATCATTTCCCGGATTCAAAGATCCAATTTGGAGCCCATTGATGTGAATCTAACTGACACGAGTGGTCGGGTAATTATTGACAATCAATTAGCGAAAAGTAAATACAGATATAGATATAGATATAATGTTTGGAAAAAGTCAAAAGGCAATTGAAGATTTTTATTAATCCTCGCGTGTGTATGTATTATCAAGTAGAAATCGATACACAAATTATTATAGTTTCTCCTGTAACTGGTAGTGTTGTAAGCGTCACGCGATCAATTTCACGAGCTGTTACTTTTTTTTCCTTGACTTGTGCCGAAATGATAGATAGATCAAATTCAAATCTCAGTTAAAAATTAAATCAACATTATTATTATTATTATTTTTATTTTTTTGTTTTATTTTTTATCTATTAGAGTGAAAATATATTTATAGATTTCTTCTCTATAAATATTTGTATATTATTCTCTAATAATAATTACTTAGACTGGAAAATTTAAATCATGACATTGCACACATGGTCAAACGCCAGACGTTTAAATACCGCTGATTATAAAAACACTTTTAATATTATTCTGAACTAAATAATAAAACATGAAGAATAATAATAATAAAAAAAAAAAAAAAAAAAAAACTACGGTATAATGAGTTTACTCAAAACAATCGGATTGTTGTAAAAACAATCGTCGGTTTCATTCAAAAGCTATTATTTAAATACCATATATTTGCAGTTAGATTATAATTGTTATATTTCTATTAACGATCTTTACTCAACTCTTTATAACGTTAAAGTTTTACTTTGTGTGTTTATTTAAATAAAACCAAGATCTTACGGAATGTTGAAGACCTTGACCGTACAATTCCGTAAACTGTAAAGTAAAGTAACTCCACTAACCCCGATGTCGCAGATCTATTTGGAAAAATAGTCGATAAATTTTATTCACTCAATTTGGATTATTTAAATTTGAAATACTAAATTATATCCAATAATTTCTATTTCTTCACAAAATTATTACAAAAAATTTTTTTCATTTCTTCCCTCACAATTTTTTACAATTAAAAATTTTTCTCATACCAGACTGGAAATTTATACATCTTATATTTCTTAGAAAATGATTTAAATTTAAAAAAATTAATAATAATATAATACTCAACACGTTGTATGAGTATTCTGAGAATCCAGATTAAATATGACCGGAAGATAAACCCCAGAGGATTTATATCATTAAAAATGATATACTCAATAGAAACCCTATATATTATTATATAATTAAATTACAATTATTATATACACACAATAAAATTTAATTTAATTTTTTTTTTTACAGACTGCAATAAGTTACATGGCTGGTAATGGTGCCGCAGAATTATTAGAAATGGTTCTTAATTTTCCCGGAGCTAACGTTGATATTCCAGACAATGAAGGAAACACTCCACTTCATTTTGCTGCTCAAGCTGGTAAATTAATTAAAAAATTTTTCTTCCCTTAAATAATTTTTAAATTAATTAATTTTATAATTTTTCTTCCCTTAAATAATTCTTAAATTAATTAATTTAATTTTATATTTATTAATTAATTTATAATTTATTTATTTAGATAATTTATTTTAATTAATTTAATTATTTTTAGGACAAGCAGAGTGTCTAAATATTTTACTTCAAAAATGTACAAGCATTCAATTAGACTCAAGAAATATTTTAGGCTTTACTCCGCTGATGAAAGCCGCACTGCAAGGACGGACTAAGTGCGCGAAAGTTCTTCTCTTTGCAGGTTTTTTTTTTTTTTTTTTTTTTTTTTAATTAAAATAAAATTCAAATTTAAATTTGTAAAAAATTTTTTTAATTTTTTACTCCAGTAATTAATTGAATAACAATTGTTAATTTATCTAGGAGCTAATCCAACCCTGCGAGACCACGGCCGAGGGTATAAAGCGGAGCAATGGGCGCGATTTTGCGGCCGGCATGTGTGTGCTGACGTAATCGAGCGCTTCACGAGGCATCGATTGATGGAAAAGACTTCCTGCCGCTGGGGAAGCGAGCCCGAGCTCGCGGCGAAGGTTCTTCAAGGAAAGGTACCCTTGAACCTTTCCGATCGTTAATCCTGTCATAAAACTGATTTATTTCCAGGTTCTGCCGGTTCCTGTCGCGTCATCCGGGCTCAAGTCGAAGCTCAAGCGAGTCTTTCGCAATGTTGGGTCTGACAAAAGCTTCTCCTTGGTGTCTCAGCTCACTAATGCTGCGCTCTGTGCTAGTTCACCTGCACTTCCCAAACCTGGAGACACGCCTGTTAAGAATTTTATTAGGCCACTTAATATTCCCCAGCTGAGGTAGATATCTGGCACTTTTTTTATGAAATTTAAGTTAGCAGTTTCTTGAGAATCTTTTTAATTTTATTTAACAAACAAATTTATTTTTAAAAAATAGGATTTTCAATTTCTTCTTTTCATTTTTTTGCCATAATTTTTTTACTTAAAAAATTATTTATTTAAACTAGCAACCTTGCAGTCACTATGTGACTGCCGCGACTTGTGAACTATAAATAAATAAAATTTTGCTTTATTAAATAATGACTTTAGTTAAATTGCACTGTAATTTCGTAAACGTTGATGTTTTTCAAGATATAAGCTCATCCTGATGTTACACTCATCAAGA